TCCTCAGCTCCTTCCACAGAAGTGAGAGGATAGAGAAGAGCATAGGAATGTCATTTAGTAGGACTTGGGCAATGTTCGGAAAACAACCATAGTGTAAATAACAACAAAAATCTGTGGGCATAGTTTGAAATAGCATTCAAAACCAGTCGCACTCCGTGGAGTCTTATAACTTGCATGGCTCTTTTACTACTTTCTGACAAAACAAGCTCGTAAGGATAAGGACTAAGGAAATGGAAAGGTGATGGATGGAGAGCCTCTGTCTAGACAACAGCTTTGAAAAGCGGAGGGCGGGCAGCAATTGAAGGGAGGGGGGAATTACTCTTCTGTCATCAGCTGGGTAGATTTTGAGTTTGGAGTTATTCTCTGTTGTTTGAGGTGCTATCTCTGTTAGCAATCTCTATCTCCATAACCTCTGCAATACTATTGGTATTTTTTTAATAGGTCATCTTGCCAAAACACTGCAAGAAGCTCGAGTGAGGATAATCAACCAAAGTGTCTGCAACAAGCTGTATGATAATCCTATCACATCACGTATGCTGTGTGCTGGAAATCTTAATGGTGGTGTTGATGCATGCCAGGTAATCTAGAACTTGTCAAAACCCCACAAAAGAATATTTGCTCTCATTGGAAAACTGTTCAAAGCTGTGGGCTGTTGGCAGTTTGTTGTTCAGGGGCATTATTCATTAGTAGTAAAGTGAGATGTCTTGAGTGTGTGTGGTTAACTTAACATGGCAGTTGAAGGGTATCCAAAATAAGGAAGGAAATTTGACATAAATATCAAGTACCTTTCATCTTTAGAGGATGCAATACTCAGAGTGAGAAATAAAACTTTTACTCTTTCAAACTCTCTATACTCTTTTCTCATCACTCTAGGCTGTTCTTTCATCTTGGCTCCTCTGTTTTTAGGATCCTCCCTCTCTCCACCAGCATACAGCCCCTTCACTCCTTCCTAACTAGCTGTGTAATTGGCCAGACTGCATAGCCTGCTGTCTCAAGTCACTTTGAGATCAGCCTCTTGGGTTATCACAATTGGCAGTATGACAGCAGCCTGAGATTGGGGAAGAACTGTTGTGGCTCTTTTCTTATTTCTTGATAATTTTGTTTGGTTTGGTGATGAAGGCTTTCTGATGTTACCCTTTTTCATGGTACATGGCTTTCTTCTGACCCCTTCCACGGTTTAGCTCCAAGCAAACCCCAGCAACACCCCAGGGTCAACTTGGAGGCTGAGGAGTGCCTTGTATGCATCAGAAACAGCTGCAGAGACGAGCTGTGCTCATAAGTGCTCAGAGTTCTGTGGAGTGGTGTGTTTACAGGACGCATACAAGGTTAACACAGCGAAGGGCACAAAGCATTGTGAGCCCAAATGCAGCTTGACCCTGTGAACTGAGCTAAATGGCCATTTTTACTTTCCTACATTGCTCTACAGGGCTGCGTGCTCCCTTTGAGAAGCCAGTTTTTATTTGCACGTTCCTTGGTCTTTGTTCCTTCCTCTTATCTATGCATGTGGACACAGTCTTGATTATGAAACCGCTGAGAATACTTGATTGTGCCCGGGTTTGTTTTATTTCATTTGGTTGGGTGCGTGTGGTATCTTTCTGTTCCTATTTAACACACAGTATAAGAGTTCTGCCTTCAACCTAAAGGTGAACAGTCTATGGTCAAACGGTAGCAGAATTCCTGCTTTCCCTCCCTGTTGTCTCCTCTCCCCATTCAACCTGTCATCAGGCACCTTAAGAACCCTGGAATGAGACATTAGCAATGAGTCTTTGTAAGAACTACTTCTTGCCATTGTTTTATATCCATGAAGGTGCTACTTCCGTAAGGTAAAACAAATTAAAGGAATTTGACATCTAGCTGGGTACACTCTATCCAGAAATAAGGTTCTAATATTAAATTTGGAATTGAGAAAGAGGGGCAGGAATTTACTGTCTTTGAATAACCTAACCTTTGTTACAGTTCTCTGTGTGTGTGTGTATGTGTGCATGCACTAATGGTTGGACTCCCTTCATTTCAGGGAGATTCTGGAGGTCCCTTGGCCTGCACAGGAAAGGGAAATAGATGGTACCTTGCTGGTATTGTGAGCTGGGGTGAAGGATGTGCTCGACGCAATCGGCCTGGTGTATACACTAAGGTGACAGCACTTTATGACTGGATTCGTCAGAATACAAACTGATGTGCCAAGGAGAAAATGCAGATCATCTCCCATATGAAAGCTGCTTCCTAAAGCAGTCTGTCACACTGATGATAGAACATGAAATGCCACTGGCTGTTTCTTCATGAAAGAATGTGCACTTTCTTAATGAAGAAACTATAATGTGCTGTTCACTGCTCGGATTCAGAGCAACTTCAGATTCCTTATGGATTTTTCTTTTTTATCCCCAGCAGCAGACACAGCACAACCGTAAAAACAACATAAAATGTATTAAGACCTGTCACAAAATACAGCCAAATCTCTCTTTTGTGAATCTTCTCCCCTTTTCCCATCTCCTTTGCTGCCTATATATCCATGTTTCCACGTACACGTATGTAGATATTCATGGCCACATCCCATATATACTCAACTCATATATGACCTTAGTAGTGTAACAGGATTCTAAACATAAATTGTTATTTCATATTTCTTGAAAATACAAATACTATAATCAGTATAGTGTGAAAAGCTGAGATTAACTAATCCTCTAGTTATGCTACCACTGCATGACTCTACCTTCTGGCCTGTTAACTCTCGTGCTTTCCTAAAAACACCAAATATATATCTCACAAATGTTAGGATGTAAGAAATTTTCAATCAAGAACTGGAAGAGCATCATTTGGGTGCATTTTGGGTGGCATGGTTTAGAGGGAGGTGTCCCTGCCCGTGGCAGGGGGATTGGAACTGGATGATCTTAAGGTCCTTTCCAACCCTAACTATTCTATGATTCTATTTAGGTTTTTTGTGATGATGTTGAAATAAGAGGAGAGAAATACTCAGTTTTAGTTAATTAAACAAAAGGAAACTTCAGTTCTTTTTGACATTACCTTTACCATTCAAACATAGTTGTAGGGTCTGATGTTTGCAGTGTGTTACAAGTGTATTTCTGCAGCTCTGTCTCCTGCATGCTTTGTGAACGTTTAGCATGCTTCTGATGGGTTCACACTGATTCTCCTGATGTCCTTGATCTGCAGCAAGCAGAATTTCAGTGTCAGGTCTTTTGTTTTATATCTCTTCCTGAGCTGTGCTCACGTGGTCACACTATATTGAAAGGGACATAAAAGGAAAAGGGATTTATGTGTCTGTATGTGTCCTTGGAATCGAAGATAGTGGAAGAGGAAATGACAGCCACACTCTTTAACTCTAGCAGTAAATCTAGCTTTGACAATCATAACCTCCTGATTGGCAGATCAGCCCAAATCAAGATTATTTACCGTTACCAAAGCTGTTTATGGGACTTAGGAATGCTGGCATTGAGTTTAATGAAAGTTCTGTCTCGATGGTCTTTAAGTTGTGCTCAATATTTGGAAGTGTTGAGTGTTCACCTTTAACATATTAAGAAACAAAGAATTTCAATACCAATCATTGCTGTCCCCACAGCACCCTTCTGCTGTACGTAAATGTGTGATCCTTGTTTAGTTTTAGACCCACCACAGCATCATGTGAGGAAAACACTTCAATGAGCTAGCACTGTAATCTGCAGGCAGTGAGGTTTCCATGTCTAACACCGATACTGCTTTTCCTTCTTTCCTTGCCCTAGTGGTGGGCATTCCCAGTCCCTGCCCACCATGGTTGTGTCAAACTTGCTCTGTAAACTACGCTCAAACCTATACTTTAGGGGGTTTATCTCTAATGACTAGCCAGTCATTCACCTCTTTTTAATAAACACGTGGTAAAAATGCAAGTGGCTGTGATTTATTCATTTGCTTGTGCTTCTGAAACTCTAATCCCCAGGTGAAATCAGAACACATTTCATTCTTGGAGGTTCCTCTTTTTGTAACGCTGAGGCTAACTTGCTTATTTACTGAAGTGCACATTTAAGGGCATAAGTTCCTTTTCTTTACATTTAAACTAGAGATGTCTCCACTAGGGAAGAGAACAGTTTTCCTGCTGTTCTGTTTTAGATAAAAGCCTAGCTCAGAAGGTTCAGATCAGTTCTTGACTTCCTATTTTCTCTACGAGTTTCTCAGCTCTATGTGCCAGAACGGTCAGTACTTCACACACAAGAAGTGCACCAAGTGTGAAAGCTAGATCACCCAGACGAAAGAAACTCAAGGACCTCCTTCACAGATGTAAATAAAAGGACTTTGGCTTTTGCAGCATGAGACCCATAATCATTAACTCATTTGACTTGGAAAAACTGGTTTGGTTTCAGACAATTCAGTAGGAAGGTAAGGTCTTTTACTGTGAGTGGAAATGAAATAAATGAAGCTCATCATCTAGCAGGAGTACTGAGAAGAGCAGGTAAAGGCTTTTCCAGGGAAGATGTTCCAAGTAAAAGCTTGTGGGTGAAGACATGTTTTGATCTTGATGGCTGCTCAGCTTCAGTTTCCATCTTCTGGAGTTTTAAGGATTCTCCAGAACAAAAAGGTGAGATATGCAATCTGCATTTGGTTTTGTTTGGTGAATGAAGCCGAGACTTGTACTCAGCTTTGTGGAGTGCTTTTGCCTGGATGGCCATGACGTGACATCAGGAATCTTGGAATGCTTCAGGCATCAGTCACCAGATGAGTTGCACAAAGAGAAAATCTGGCTCCAGAAGGCAGAGGGGAGATGAAGAGTTGGGGATGAAGCAAGCATCCTCTGCATTTGGCAGGAAAAAGGAGCAATGCTACGAATGGGTACTCAGCCAGCAGGGGAGGGAGCTGGAGACAGAGGCTTTGTTTCCCTCTTAATACATGATCTTCTCTGCTGGGACAAGAGGGTGAACACGAGTGTGGTTACAGCTGCCTGGCCAACCCTTTTTATCCAGAGGGGGAGAGGTGCTTGGGGAATGGGAAGGGAGAAGGGGCAAGGGGGGGAGAAGAAACAGGAGGATGGAGTCAGAACAGGAAAAGTGAGAAGAGGTAGGATGAAGGAAACTGGGGGAGAAGGGAGGGAAGGAGAGGAGGAATCAGCCCCTGGCTGCAGCAAGCTGTGATTTGAAGTAGCATAGGAGAGTTCATCCTAGTGCAGAGCAGATCCTAACTCACACCATGATTCTCTTCATAAAAGCATGCCTTGTGGACCATAGGCTGAAATTGAAGGTCATCTTCCTCTTGTCTTCAGATTTGCCCTTTTGGCTTTCACATGGAAGCAGCTTCTCAGGTTTAGGTTGGGTAGAATGTGAGTAGACATTAATGATTTCTTTACACCAGAGATGATTTTAGCCTGCGTAACAGCTAAAGAGTGGACAATTCACAGCACAAAGGTCAGTAGTGTTCATTTCTTTATTGACTATAAAGAGACTAAAATTAGAAGTGCTGATGGATGTTGTACGTGCCCTTCACAGCCTAACCGGACTACAAGCCGTGTGAACCTTTACTCAGATTGTGCTGTTCAGAATCATATCTGTTTGTTTAGCTGTGTGGATAACAGCAAGAGGATTTCACCATTTTGGCTGACAGCAGCAGGGAAAGCAACCCGGTTCCTTTCAAAACCGCCTCGGCAAATGACAACATAGCTGAAGGTTGAGTCACCTGCTTGCCAAGGGCTGGTGTGATAAGGTAGACAAACTGGAAAACCTGGTGTTGCATAGTTGAGAGGTGTAGTTCTGAGGACGAGGCAAATCGACACTTCCTCCATATCCAGTTTCTCTGTGGCTACTGCAGACAACGTCATTTCCAAGGAATTCCCCTTATTTGCCAGTGTTTTCAGATCACTCCCATGAAAACTATCCAGACTCTCCCTCTTACTGTCTCCAGCCTCGTACAAAAACTGTTACTGATCATAACTGCAGCTGAAACCAGAAGGAAATGAGCTGCCTTCTTGCTTGCTTCAGAGACAGAGGTCCTCGCGCAGAGACGGAGGCTATGAAAAGGCAAGGCTGCGTTCAGGAGCATGAGATCATTGAATTAAGAGAAGATAACACGGAGGAAAGTGAGGCTGGTCACGACAAGCCTCCAAACGCTCAAACCAGAAAGGTAGGAATTTCACTTGCTCCTTTTATCCTTACTCTTGGGAAAATACCACACAGCAAGAGAAATGACACTTAGCAGGAACATCTTGTAGGGGTGGTTTAATTTGTTGTTTGTGGGATGGGGAAAGGTTATTCACTTGAAAGTAAAGGCTGAAAACCTGTTTGATGTATTTCTTCTTCTCGGTTCAGTGTTCTGATATGGGAATGGATTCGAACCCCTCTTAATTTTTGTGGTTAGCTGTTTGTGAACTTTAACTTAGGAAATGGAGATGTAATTGGTACTCTGGATTTTGCTTTCTCTTTTCATGTGCTGTTGGTGGGATTGGGCTCAAAGCCAGAGAGGACAAGGACTGGAAGCTGTACTATAAGCAAGCTTTCTCTCAGATCAAATCAATTGGGAGAACTACTACTCAAATAAGACTAGGATGTCCTGCAACAGACCATGCTGGGATTCTCTCTATCTTTGAGTCATTTGCAATTGCTAACAATAATGAATTTGTATGAACTGAGGCTTTGAGGCACTCTATAAAGGCCAGCACGTGAGCCCCCATGGAGGTAACTCGCAGTGTTCAGCTTGAAGCTACGGAACAGACTCATGCTGGCAGGTTACGCTCACAGGTGACTGTTGTACAATGATTCTCATCACTTACAGCAGAGAGTATGTCTATGGCAGAGCTAAGAAGTTTTCCACTCTTCTGTAGGGTTGGCTGAGCCCTCCAAGACAGCTCATCTCTATTAGTCAGGCCACCCCTCCCTGCTCCCAGCCAAGCAACCACAACTGCTTCCTTGTGTGGGCCCCATTGATCATCTCTGTAGGCTGATTTACTTTGCCAGCTAGGCAAAGATCCCATTTACTCTATTATATGGAGGGCTGGTTACTTCTCCTCTAGTCTGGTAAACTGGATTAATTCAGGGTCAAATTAATTCTAGGGAAGTGCAAAGAGGAATGGGAGAGGGTGGAGAGAAAGCAGAGATGAGTCAGACCCATTTAGCTGTGAGAAACTTTACCCTTAGGTTTCTGTTTAGCCTTCCCCTTCCCAGCATTGAGTTTTCATTTGGGCTCTGTTTCTGCTAATTCTGGCCATTGGCTTCCTATCTTATAGGGACTGCTGGAAGTTTATCGTGCTCTGCTTCCTGCTCATGTGCAGGCTAATCAGAACTAGTCTGATTTTCTCTCCTGCTGCTCCTTCCCCACAGACCTGCCATATATACAGACAAAGTCTGAGGGTGTTGTGATAGGGAACTGAATGTTTGCTGGAGATCAAACCAGTCTGCTATGTGTGTTTAAGAATTCTATCATTATTATTTTGTGGGGGCCTAAATATGGGACTTAATCCAAACCTGGATCTGATAGCTGTCTGTCTCAATTGATGCTGCCATGGCTGATTTCGTAGTTGCACCCTAGGCAGTAGTTACTGGCCTTTTAATTTTTCAGGTATTTGACACTAGCATAGCTTTTTGGATAAATTGAATGTTTATTTTTCCAATACATTTTAAAAATCATATTAAAAACTATATTCTAATCCATTGAAAATCATATTAAAAATAAATATCATATTAAAATCATATTTAAAAACTAAAAAATATTAAAACCTATAAAAATCATACTAAAAATCATATTAAAAATCACTCTTGCACCTGAAAGGATGCTGTAAGCAAAACTGTATTCTGCCTTTGCCCTTCATTCCCCACTATAGGAAAGTTCTGCATGCAGAGGTGTCTGCAGAAAGGGCTTTCCCTTTCTCCCTGTGCTCCTGAAGCAATGCCTCTCTAAGATCTTTCTGTGGGTGTCTGTTTACTCTCCCTGTTCATCTGCCACCCCCAAAGAAGCTATAGGCCAGCTGGTGGGCTTGAGTTAAATTCAGTGAAGGGCTATCTATTATACTGTGCTCTTAGGAAGCTAAAAAAGCAAAGGAAGGTAACCTTGGTTAGTGCCTCCAGCCAGCAGCTGGCTCCTGCCAACCTGCACGTGTGTGGTGTGTGGCACTGACAACCTACAGCATGTGCTTTTCCTTGCCTGGTACTGGTGTCAAAAAGGACACGGCTTACTGCTGCGTTTGTGGTGGAGGAAGAGGAAATAAAGGAGCAGCATGGTCTACTTGTGAATTGGTGTTCTTCCTTCAGTCTTCTGGCTGAGGAACAAAACAGTTGGAGTTGGGTTGTATTTCCTATGTCATAGAAACATAGAATAGTTTGGGTCAGAAATGACCTTAAGATCATCCAGTTCAGGGACACCTCACACTAAACCATGGCACCCAAGGCTCTGTCCAGCCTGGCCTTGAACACTGCCAGGGATGGAGCATTCACAACCTCCCTGGGCAACCCATTCCAGTGCCTCACCACCCTTACAGTAAAGAACTTCTTCCTTATATCCAATCTAAACTTCCCCTGGTTAAGTTTGAACCTGTTACCCCTTGTCCTGTCACTACAGTCCCTAATGAAGAGTTCATCTCCAGCATCCCTATAGCCCCCCTTCAGATACTCACATAAGCTTTTTAATTTTTATTTCTTATTTTTTAATATAAGTAATGATTAATTAATTAATCAGTACTTGCTAATTAGGGGTAACTAATTAAAAGACTAATTTCTGCCATGGTCTTATTAAAAGGTAAATGAAAGGCAAGTGCTCTCCTTTCTCTCCCATACGAATGTGCATGAATGTACAACTGCTTTGAAGAGAGTTTATCTATGATCTCCTAGAACAGGTGAGATTTGTAATAAAACTCACTCCATAGCCTTTAAGTTTCCAATCTTCTGAACAAAAGGGAAGTCAACTGTGAAAGTCTTAATTATTTTACAGTGGTCTTCAATGCAAGAGTATCTAATGAATAGCTTTGGGTGCTTGCGTCCAGGAGCTGTGCAGATTGGTATCATCAACACCACAGAGGTGAATGATCCTGGAGATTTCTCCCACAGCAGCTCTTTGGTTGCCAGAGATGGCAAATATTACAAGGATCATCTCCTAGAACACGTAAATCAAATTGTTGCAGTTGTCCTGGTTTCAGCTGGGATAGTTATTTTCCTTCCCAGTAGCTGCTGCAATGCTGTGTTTTGGATTTAGTCTGAAAGCAATGCTGATAACACACTGATGTTTTAGTTGTTGCTGAGCAGCACTTACCCTAGTGAAGGACTTTGCAGTCTCTCATGCTCCACCAGTGAGGAGGGGCACAAGAAGCCAGGAGGGAGAACAACCAGGGCAGATGACCTGAAACAGCCAAAGGGATGTTCCATACTATAAAATATCATGCTCAGGATATAAACTACACCAGAAGCCTCCAGGCTGGGGTATGAGCTGTGCATTTGTCAGCAGCTGGCAACCAGTTGTGCTGTGCATCGCTTGATTTTATTGGGTTTCATTCCTCCTTCTCTCATTTTCACTATTATTACTTTGTTTCATTCTTTAATTCTTATCTCAATCCATGAGTTCTACCTTATTCTGATTTCCCTCCCCATCCCACCAGGGAAAGTGGGAAGGGAGAGGATTGAGCAAGCAGCTGTTGGTACTTAGTTGCCAGATTGGATTAAACCACACCAGTAGTCTAAAAAAACACTTGGAAGATGTGACAGCACCTTCATAGGACCTCAGCTGCATGGGCAATTCAGGAGTTGGAAACCTTACATCTATGAAGTAACATCATGCCTATGAATGTTCTTTGTCTTCTGCAGGTCTACATTCCCACCTGCAGTAGTAGTTAAGGGTGGAAAGCCCTGATGTAGGGCATTGCTTACCAGTGAGGCTCTCCCACCTATGTGGGGTCTGGGGTTTTGTTTTGTTTGTTTCTAAATGTGACAGCAGATACATGCTTCAATATTTTCTCCCTGCTTTATTTCATTAATCAATATGCCCTTTCCTTTTACACTAGGAGACAGGTCACTGGAGATCATGTACGAATGTCGTTTTCTGGAAGTGTAAACTATGGATGGTTATAGCTACAATTTTTCTAGTATTCTTCCTGGTCATTCTCATCAGCCTAATTCTTTATTCTAGTAAGTATCCCACTTTTGGTTCATCCTCTAATACAAATGTATAATATGCACAATCTGAAATGAATGGTAGCATCCTTTAAACTTCCGTGAACTGCTGAAGGGTCTGGGATGCTGACTGCAGAGTGAGGTGTGTTGAGAAGTGGATCTAAACACTTTCATTTTAGCAGGCAGCAATCACATGGCAATTCCAGTTTGTGTAGCTAAGTGAGAAAACGTTACGGGAACAGGGTCTGGGATAAGGATGGAAAGGATGCTTGTAACATTGCAACAAGTGCAATAGAGTGCTCTGGTCCCCTTATCTGGTGTCAGCGCCTGTCAGGCTCCCAACCTAATGGGACTTTTGCTAACGGGAGTTGGCGGTTGAACTTCGTGTGCTGTCATTTTCCTTTAGATCACTTGCACTTTCTTTTTGTCATTCCCAGTAGGAAATCTGGGAGGAAGCCATCTGGGAGAAAGCCAAGAAGAGACTTAGTTAGTTAGTTATTTAGTTAGTTATTCTCTCGGATACTTCTTCTAACTGGAACGTTTTCCTCCACTTTCTCCTTTTGGATATTAGATGTTTACACGGATGAGGATGACTATTGGGATGCTGATGCACTCCTAAATAGTGGAAATTGTCACAGCTTTTTGGGAACGCTGGAATTAATGTGTGATCTCCCACACCTTGTCTCTGAAGACATTACTAAGAAGGTATGTGTTGATGCGTTTCTCGGCAGAGCTGATTCTGTTTGCAACATAGATTCAGTGTTTTTCCCTTTTGAAAAGTTTCCGTTTCTCTGTGCAGCAATTCAGCTATTTGCAAGTCCACAAGAAGTTAGGAGATGTACTTTTTCTAGCATAATTTAAGTCCTCATCTAGAAAACAGACCTGTTTGTGACACACGGATTGACTCCACAGTTCTTGGTTAACCCTGTAGCATCTGCTTTTAAGCACACAGGCAGTTTACACTGATTTTTGTCCTGTTTTGGTTGTAATGTGTTAGGTTTTTTTAAAGAAAGGTGCCTAACTTTTCCCACAAATTTGATTAATGGCTGGTACACCTTCACCTTTTTCATGCAACCATTGAATAATTCAGGTTAGGAGAGGCCTGTGAAGGTCATCTAAACCAAATGGGGGCTAAAAATACTGTGTTTTGCGTCCTCCTGTAAGTACACGGTGGCAGCCTGGGTTTATAGCTGCTATTTCCATTGAGCTGTCCCAGCTCTGAGTTAAGCTCAGCAGGCACAGCAGTGCTTATTTAGATTTACCGTGGAAAGGGAGTCTCAGTAGAGAGACTCTTTCCTCTGTCATGTAATAACAGAAGGGCTTTTGGTATTAGTACAAACCCCAGCCAAACAACCTAAATTGCACAGGCAACATGAACACACACTTTTAGTTCACCCTGAGTGCCTCCATTGTGTTAAGGTAATGTAGCAATCACTCAAACACCCAGATTAACTTGTCTGTCGAGCTTAAAGGGATGGTGTACCTTTTCTAGGGCAGAGGTTTGCTGTTATTGACCCTTCAGCACCTGTGTTTCTGCCCCTTCAAGCACCCTGTAAGAATGATTTTCTGTACTCTCTTTTATGGAGGAAAAAAGGCAGTGAATGGAAGAAACCTCTTTTTCTTTTCCTTTTTCCCTACAAGTTAACAGATGTCTACAGTTCATCTCCAGCTCTAGGACGTTACTTTAGGTCAGCTCGGGTGGTTTCTTTCAGGTAAGCAATTTCTTGTCACCAAAGGCATCTGAAAATTCCAGGCTTTTGATGAGACATACATGTGCCTATGTGGATATGCACGACATTTAAAGCTGTGAAAAATAGACTGGGGGAAAGTTATATACATAGGTAGTGAAAAACAGTCGAAGGATCCTCTGTTTTAAATGGCAAGTGCTGCTAATCCATCCCTGGCAGTGTTCAAGACCAGGTTGGACGAGGCCCTGGGTGATATGGTTTAATGTGAGGTGTCCTTGCCCATGGCAGGGGGGTTGGAACTAGATGATCTTAAGGTCCTTTCCAACCCTAACTATTCTATGATTCTATGATTCTATGATGAGAGTAACATTTTCCTGCTGTTAAGTATTATCTCTATTGTCTTTGGTTCAAAGTGCAGCCCTTAATAATATTCAAGGATACTTATGACAAGGCAAATGAGCTGCTGGAATTATTTGGGATTGACATAACTTAAATAGCCTTAAGTAAATAAAACAGGATTCATGGGGAGGGATGAGGGCTGAACTAGTTTTGTTCCCAAAAGAACTAAGTGCAACAGGGGCATACAAGTTGTGAGAGCCCAAACAGTAATACTGCGTTACTGGCTTGTTTGCATCACTTTCCCCCTCTCTTTATTTTGGACCAGAGGAGCAAATCTAAAAGCAGCAGCATGTTGGGGAGACTGGGGAACAGGAGTGAGAGGCAGAGCAGGTGACAGAGTGTAGTCTAGGCTAGCTTGGGTGGGAGATGAAGAAGAAAGGCACCGAAAGCCTAATAGAGCCAGAGGAGTAGCAGTGGTAAGAAGGGGAAAGCATCCAAGCCTGCCTTGCATAGGCAGCAGAAAGCTTCAAGCTGGAAGAGAGGGAGGCTCTTACTCTCAGCAAAAACTGTGACTGGAGGAAGGCTAAGAAGTTTACTGTGCTTGAGACCGTGAAGTTTTGATCTATGGAGATACCATACGTTTACAACAGGAGGGAGGCTGAGCAGCAAAGGGAAAAGGGCAGTTGGAAAGATCAGCTACAGCACGGTCCTGCTGTGGAGAGACAGCAGAAAGGCAAGGGAAGGCAGTTGGAGAGCTTCCCCAAGGACTACAGGAAAAGCACTGTTACAAAAGGAATTAAAAAGACAATAGGAAATCGAGGGAAGTTGATTTTAAAAGGCCCAAAACCCTTAAGAGATCAAGGACAGAGGAAGAGTCCCCTTGGGATGCTGCAAGGGGTAGTCCTGAGGGCACTTTGGGGAGTGTGCTCCCCTGCACTGCCAGCCTCGGGCATGCCAGCCTTGTTCACTGAGTGAGATGGAGCTCCTTAGCCTTAGGGGTAAGAAGCATGATTTAGACCATTAAGTGCAAAGCTATAGTTCTGCATACATATCAACTAGCTTACCTCTCCCTGTCCCTCCACCCCTTTCTTCCTCACTTGTCTCCCTGTCTTTCCCCCCACACAAATACTTCTTTATGTTTTAAATGCAGTAAGGGCAAAATATAACTGTCAAATTGCAGTCAGTGGATTTGGTAGACTGCAAACAATGCAATTTCCAAAGATGGACTTGGCCTGGTTGTTCTCACAACACACTCCAGAGCTGAGTTAGGAGCACAGCTGAGTGGCCCCAGGTCCTGCTAGTGGGAGAGCAACCTATGCTTTGAGATATCACAGCATCTCTTATCATTATGTGCTTGTAGAGCATGGGTTTTGTAAACCTCACCCTGTTAGAATGTACATCCAATTGACCTCTATCTATTTGAAAGGTTAGATTCAAGTATGTTCCCAGTTTCTGTTAATGTGAAGAGCTGTTCTGAGAAGGTAGAGGGAGGAGGAAATGAATCTCTGGCCCTTTTCTTTTATAATGGTTTTCTTTAGAATAAGAAAAAAGAAAAAATCCACCCCAACATTGATATAAAAAGTCAGTCTTGTCAAAAAAGCAAAGTTCCAGTGGGGACTTGAAGGCACTGATACTTGGCTTTGTTTTTCAGTAATGAAAACTCCACTGTATTTTATCAGCTAGAGTTCTCTGTACCACCACCAACAGAGGGGTTTATGGAAAACACAATGAACCCAGACTTTATAAAGAACGTTTTACGTCAAAATATCTATGATGAAGATGATATTTCTAATCCTGGGACACTTGAATGTAACAAGTTGAAGTTTGACCCTGCTTCTCTCACACTGACATGTGAGTACATTAAAAAGACCATTTCCTTACAAAGAATAGAAGTATTTACTTGAAAGAAAATCCTTCTGGAAGATGTTGGGATCTGTTTGTAAATACATTTGGCACAACAGTGTTAAGAAAATTGGGAATACTCGGGTTTCAAGGAAGTCTTGTTATGCACAGTTTATAACCTTGAATTCACTGTTTGGTCCTCTGATGAGAAAGGGAGAGATAATGAGACTGATTGGCTACGGTCTCCAACCAAACTTTTTAGATCTCCTTTTGCATTTTATGCATAAAAATAGTTAAAACCAGAAAATCTCCTATGTGTGTACCAGAACAGAGAGCCTAATTAAAAATGTTTCTCCTTATTCTATATTGACATGGTTTAGTGGGAGGTGTCCCTGCCCATGGCAGGGGGGTTGGAACTGGATGATCTTAATGTCCTTTCCAACCCTAACTATTCTATGATTCTATATTCATATTTGAACATTTATAGAACAAATTTTAATCCAAGTAAGACAGGATAAGTAATCTGGGGGTAAATTTAGGATTATTTTTTTCAAGGAGGAAAAACCCTCCTGATTTTTGTCTTTTCAATATTTCTTTTTTTTTTTTAATTATTATGTACAGACATACCTTTTAAAGGAACCAAACATTTATTCTGCCAGGTTGTCTAGGTAGTGATTCCAATGACTACCAGTAACTAGCTAGTGATCCCTATGCATTTACAGTTGTCTTGATTGAAATGTCACTATAAAAGTCCTATGTTCTTTGCAATTTTACTGAAAGCATGGAGCTGCTTTCATCCACCTGCAACTTACTGAGCCAGACCAATGTGCTTTTATAACAATTCTAGGCTAACATATCACCATACACTGTATATAAGTAGGATTTGTTAGCAGAATAAGAAGCAATGAGTTTCAATTCTCAGTATCATTTTGTTCCTTGTATAATTGAGAGGACTCACAGAAAATGCAGTGTGAAAGAGGCAGGAAAGAAGATGCTGAAATATCTAGCTAAAGTTTCATTTTAATGTTAATGTTGTACTCTTTTAATTTTTCAGAGAAAAAATGGAAGGACTCTTCATCTTCCTCACCACCTAGAAGAGGGGGCTTCTCCTATCTGTTAGTAACCCCAGGATAGCGAGTTATTCATTAGTAGAAACACTTCTAAAGACGTTGTCCTGCACATGCTGTCCGTGATGCAGTATTGTTAATGGAAAATGTAGTACATTTGTAACAGTGTTGTACTCCTATAACACCACTACCTCCTCCTTTATTGTTGTCCTGATATCTCAATAACTCATGTCACTCACGAAAATCATGTATGGTCTGTTGGCTTTGAAACCTCTGCTTTGTCTTACCTTAAAATTGAATCTGGATTCCATTATGACCTTTAAAAAGCAGTCTTGCATATGGCTCATTGCTTCTTCACTTGTCTCATCCAAAATTATCTGCACAACTTCATCCTTAATGATCACTTCCACTCATGTTCATGTCTGTTACTTTTTTCCCCTGCTAACTACGTATGCTGTGCTTCCCCATTGTTCTTTCCTCATAAAACAAGCAGAAAAGTTAAATATACTTTCTATTTTCTTTAATTACATGCAAGACCTTTGCACTATCTTCTTAAGTGGCCTTCAATTCCCATCATCTCCTTGTTCATCCTACAGTCTTACTGGATAAGGTGGTATCTGCTTTATTTTTCTCTTCTGTAATGTGAAATAGAAATGAAGGAACAAACATTGGTAAGACATACATCTTGCTCACTGATGCATTTGAATGCTATAGGAATCTTTCAAGGGTCAGATTAACTGTGTGTTTTAATAATTAGCTAGTGGTACTGGAGAATAGACAACTATTTGAGCCATATTTGTAAGTCCAAAGAGAAACTAGCCAATATTATTAGTTACAGGCCTTGTCCCAGCAGTGGGGATAAAAATGAACAGATGCAAGATATTTGCATTCATAAGGCAGCAAATGGCTCTTCTTGTTGACAACAGATCAGATGAGATAGATAGACCAATGAATGCTAAGAGGAAGGTGCTGAAACAGACCTTGTAGGCCACAGTGGCATGAGAGTTACAGCTAGTAATGGTTAGTTTTATCTAACATGTTAGACAATATTAGAGCATTAACTTTATGTGGAATGGATTCACTACCATGTTAGTGAAAGATGGCTTCTTGTCATTTGTTTATAGCCATTATCAACGTTAGCACTATTGGAGAGACAAATTTGTTTTAAGAAACCTTTTGTATAGTAAGAAATATGGGAAATTGTATGTCTTTTTTTTTCTAATATTACCAGTTTATTTAAGAAGCAATCTGACAATTTTACCATGCATTAAACTATTTATTTTTACTCTTAATGTGATTGCTTTCATTACTTGGTAGCTTTAGTCTTTCACTGGTTTGAGTTGGAAAACAACCATTGGAACTGCAAATGCTGATAGCTGTATGAATCATCTGTCTGAAAGAGCTGTGCACTCAAACCTGTATTTGTTGTTGATTGAGTTTTAACTGAGCTTAGGAAACAGCCTGGACCAAATCAGTAGTTCACATGGCTCTCTTATTTGCGGCTAATTCTGATCGCGTGTTGGTATGTAAGATGTAGTGCTTGTTGTGAGAGCCATAATTTCTCTTGATGCAATATTATATGCAGTGTACAACTAGGAGAGATGTTCCTTCTGATTTTTACATTGGGGAAGGGTGAAATTCATGGTTTGCATGCTTTGTCCCAAAAGCATCAGGTCATGAAAATACCAGTAGTGATGAAATAATTTGCCTTTGTGATGCTGCTTGATCTCATTGCTGAACCTACCCTTGGGTGCATCTTTATCTTGATTCTGCTTCTAAGAACTTTAACGTAATGATTTTTCTTCTTTATGGTGATACCCCTATGGGAATTAAGAGTTAACAGACAAAAGGAGACGCCAAGAATTCCTTTTCTTTCCAGCCATCCTCCTTTACCTAAGTACCACAGCAATTCACAGGAAAGAAGGAGGTGGAGTCGGAGCAGGATGTGATATTCAGCAGAATATGTCCAACTTCACAGTCTACCCCCAGTCAAGCTTTGAACTCTCATTGAAGGAAATGTCAAAAAGTGACAAAATATGGCTTCTCTTTTATATCGTTGAGGTAAATTACTAACGTAACAGAAAATAACTAAGTGAATTAATCGAGTCTTCATCCATTAGGGACAAAGCAATGTGAAAACAAATCATTTCATCAAGGTAGGTGTTTTGTGTGGATGCTTAATATTAATTTCATTAGAAGGAGTGTGGGTAACACTTCAGGCAACTGAGGCAGTGTTGAAAAGAAAGAGAAAAGATAGTTTTGGTAATCCAGCTTGTGGAGTATACAATCGGCCCTTTAGCATCCCATGGCAGGCAGTCATCTGTGCAGTCACAGCAGGCAATACCAGTGTGGGGCAGATTCATCTGCCCCTTATGAGAGCCAGCAGTAGCTGTACAGTGCTGCTGCATCATGCTAGCGGTGTGTCTTACCACTGCTGCGTGCAAGCATTCACCTGTGGGACTACCCCCCAGCACAGGCACTGCAGGTGGGAATCACAAAGGTGCTACACCATAAAGCCAGGGCTGAAGCCAGCAATCACTTACATACAAGATTTAGAATCAGGAAATCTCATCAACATTTTCTTTCCAAGTGTTTTATTATAAATATGGAAGGCAGCAAAAAAATCATGCTGAAGCAAGAACAGAAGCTCTATGTACAATCACTGTATGGGCTCTGGTTAATAGCTGAATATCTGGTTTCAGTCCCGTGTGCATGTCAAGAAATGCTGCTTGCAGAAGGGTGGTGGGCTATGAGGAGGGTATATTATAGCTTTGCAGAGCACCCTGTGGAGGGTGTTGGTGGATGAGAACAACTTGAGGTGTTGGTCTATGAAAAACTGAACATGAGCTGGTTTCAGTGTGCGCTCGCAGTCCAGAAAGCCAACCGTATCCTGGGCCGCATCAAAAGAAGCATGAACAGCAGGTCGAAGGAGGTGGTCCTGCCCCTCTGCTCTGCTGAAATCCCACCTGGAGCAATGTGTGCAGTCCTTGTGCACACACAGCATGGAGCAGGCATTCAGGGCATGGAGTGACAAGGTGTGGTGAGGCAGTCAGAGCGTGGTGCGGGCAATCTCGGTTGCTTCTAGTAAGGAAGCACATTATTTTCTATAGAGAAACTTCATCTTACAATGGTAGCTCCTACTCTTCCTCCTGGTTTAATTGTGAGGTCCTGTACCCTGTTCATGTCTCTTCCTCTGATCACCTTTTCAATGAAACAAATTTGCCTTATTGGAAATGACTGGCAGATGTGTTCTAAGCAAGAGTAAGCTTGCCAACGAGCGAGTCCTTTGTTTGAAGACCTGACAGCAGAGGTAGAGTGATTATCAAGGCTGCACACATCCAAATAAAAGAGCAGAAAATGCCCCTTTCTAAGTTATGAGGACATAATCACTTTGCTCTTCAGCACCGGTGATGTTTTCCTTCCTCTTGGGTATGTTGACAAGTGCATATTCGGTTTGATTATTGCTGTTAATCACAGAGGTTTCATGTTTTACGTCGTGGTTGACAGTTGAGTACCACAGTTCTTTGGAATTCATAGATTTTTGGGGGTCAAAATGTTCCTGGATGCACGGGAGGGAGAGAGAGAGAGAGAGAAGCTTCAATGTAATTGTACTATGAAGAAGTCTGCCATGGGGACAACTCTGGTATGGCCTTTGGGCTCATGCAGCGGTGTTGAGCAGTACACGTTATTACTGAGTATCTGCAGCCATTTCCCTGCCATACAGGTTGTGACTGAACACCAGGAGCACTCAACAGCATATGCACACCTGGTGTGGATGGAGGTTAAATGCATCAATGGCCAGCTCCCTCCCTCGTGGCCCTCATGTAATGAGGGAAGAGCCATTAATGAAGGCAGAGTTAAGACTGTGTGGGTGCCTTCCTAGCTCTGTTTAGACTTGTCCTTCCTTCTGCCTCTTGAAAGTGTTTGCTAATGGGTCGTGGGTGATTGTGCATCTAAATAGTTAGAATGACTCATTCAGTCTAAAGGACTGATGTGAACTGAAGAAGGACTTGGAACCAGGAGTTAAGTTTATTTGCCCTGACGCTCTTGATTTGAACCCACTGGGCAATAAAGCTACTGAATAAGTATGTGCTTTATAGCAGTATTCTCTATTGTCTGCAGTAGTAGTAGTGTTTTAAGTGGGTGTTGCTGAGTTCATGCTGACATTTGTGGCTACCTTTTGTACTCTGTAAGTGGAACAGAGCTCTCTGCTCCATGGGTTGATAAACCCAAAGGGTTTGCTTTTATTTTTCAAACCTGGAAGTGAGAAAGACTTGTTCAAATGCAATTCCTGCAGCCTGCCTCAGGTCTTCCCAGCTTATATAGATAATTTTGTCTGCTTGGTGTGAAAGATTTCCTGATTTTGAGAACACTTCACTGAAAATAATTCCTTAGTTTTGATTTGAGGCTTTGTAAAATTTAGCGATTTAGAAATTACAGTTTTGTGGAGCAGAGCAATCAGGGTGGACTTGCTTCAGAAAAGGAATTCCCAGGCTACCTGCAGGGGCATGGCTCTCTCTTCCCCCAGTCATTGTTGCAATGGGGTGCAAGCAGTACTTGTCCTAATGTGCCTGTGAAATGAGGACAGGTAGGCTCTTCATTTTCATGAGTGCCTGGCTCCAAATCCACTGTGTGAAGTCTGGAGCACCTCTTGTCCCTTCCATCATACAGGTCTACTCAAAACTTGTTCATAGCCACTTCCCAGAATCCTTCCGGTGTGCAGGTTTTGGAAGCCTGTTGTCATTGACCTTCTCTTCAGAGGGGAGTCTGAAGTGCAGAGGGGTTGTGATTTGTCCCACACACCGATAGTGCACAAGGAAAGACCTCATAGCAGCCTTCCAGTATCTGAAGGGGGCCTATAGGGATGCTGGGGAGGGACTCTTCATTAGGGACTGTAGTGATAGGACAAGGGGTAACGAGTTAAAACTTAAACAGGGGAAGTTTAGATTGGATATAAGGAAGAAGTTCTTTACTGTGAGGGTGGTGAGGCACTGGAATGGGTTGCCCAGGGAAGTTGTGAATGCTCCATCCCTGGTGGTATTCAAGACCAGGTTGGATGGAGCCTTGGGTGAGATGGTTTAGTGTGAGGTGTCCCTGCCCATGGCAGGGGGGTTGGAACTGGATGATCTTAAGGTCCTTTCCAACCCTAACTATTCTATGATTCTATGATTTGACTCTCCTGTTACTCGCAGGCCAAGTTTAATACTCAGATGTGGCATCTCTCCTACCACACTAACAACCCTCACAGGACTGTCTTCAAACCACACGCTGGGGCTTTTAGTTGGGACACCAGAATCTCTCAAAACCAGACAGCTAGTTGGCAGATTTCCCCCTTACAGTTCCACCCCCTTGCTTTCTCTTCCCCCACAGTCCACCCCACGCTCACATGTGCAGATGATGAGCTCATTTAATCACTCCCTTTTCTGTCATCTTGCCCACTTAAGAGATTTCTGCAAAACACCCACATATCCACTGGGCACCAACTTTAGTTTTACTGCTGTCATCTTTATAAAAACCCCAAGAGCCAGGTTAGGCTGCTAAATGGCAGCACTTTATTGTGGTACGTAGGGCTTCTGGTGATCATTTGCCGTTGGGTGACTCAAGAAACAACTTCAGTTGCCCTCTGCTAAAATGAACTACTTACAAAGGAGAGGTAGCAAACCACAGGTACTCAGCTGCTGCCTCTGGGAGCCTGGTGTATTAACAGACAAACAAGTCCACAAGGCTGTGAATTGCATTAGTTGAGAAGTGGTTGCTCCCCAACCCTTGCTTCCAGGACATTGAGCCTGGGCGGAGGAGCAGGGCACGCACCAAGTGATGTAGTTATCTCTTAAATAACCCTGGAGGGGTATTCAGAGCTCCTGCATCTAACCCCAGTTCAGGGAAGTAAGATGGACTGCGCAAAGTGGTTGTCCTGCCAGTCTTCCCCGAGTGTCCTCTTCTGCAGTACAACCATTTGATCCATTCTGTTTTATAGGAAACTAAATGGTCGAGAAACTGAATGTTCAACCTAACAGTGCATGGGTTTGGTTTTTGGTTTATTGATTTTCTTATTATTTTTCCTTCTGTCTAGAGGCAGTGGCATATTGGAAAGTGAAACCTTACTCTGTTCCAGTAGAGACTTAGCCATTCATCGAGATATGTGCTATTTTTTCACAATGGGAAGGTTAAACAAAACCTTTTAAGCCTCCAAATATTACATCTCCCTTTGTCTTTC